GGTAAGCGTGGTACCTACGTACAGGCCCGTGAAAAGTTCCTTCCGAGTAAGTTAATTACTCGAGAAACTGAGAAGCTAGAAGACTGGAATTTTGAGGGGATGTTTACTGACATTTCTGGCGGCCAGTCTGAAATTGTTCGCTAGAAGACTGGAATTTTGAGGGGATATTTACTGACATTTCTGGCGGCCAGTCTGAAATTCTTTCGGCTAAAAGCATCTGCCCAAAAAACCGATGCCGGCAGCGACAAAAACCTGCGGGGAACTCTGCAAAAAACGCATCTTCGCACGGGCAGCTTGTGCGTTGGCCATTTATTTACAACTTTACAGCAGCAGTGCAAACAATCACTGTAATGACAAATGTCGTCAGCCTTCTCATACTCGCGATGTTTTTAGGCGGGAAAATCAACTTACCTGAAGCAAGTTTGTTTGCTGCAAGTTTTGGCGCAAACTGGAAGCTTCGTCCCTGCCGAAATGGCCGCATTTCCCATCCTCAAAAGAATTTTTTCGCGCATTGGACACAATGATGATGCTGTATCCAAAAAGTCCACTTTTGCTCTCGAGGTTTGTTCCAGACAAAATAAAAAAAAAAATGAAATTTATGCATTTTGATCAAGAACTTATTTATATATGCAACAAATTTTGAAACGGAATATCAGCAACGTTTATCTAAGGGCATCAAACTAATCAGCGCTTGAAAAGAAAAATTTGAAATGAATTGAATTAGCTATGCAAAATATAATCAAAGCAATATAAAATTCAACTATGATATATCAAATTCAACCAAAGTCGTGCCGAAGTTCGTCTCGTTTAAACAGTTAAACTGCATTGAAAACATACAGTTCCTTGAAACCAGGTGGAGCCGGAAGGCCGGTGAGGAAGAGGAGCCAAAAACTTGAAAATGGAGTTTGAGGAAAAAAATGCACTCATTAGCTGACGTATCAAACTTGTCCTTGACGAATGATTGAAAAAAATTGGTAGATTAAAGCTAAGGGTTTTACAGATGTCAGAATTGGTACCAATTTTAAAGAGTGCCGATGCTTCGTCACTCGTCGTTATCGATGAGCTTGCTCCTAGTGAGTTGACATTTTTCTTATTTTGAACTCATCTAACACTAAACTCTCCCTCTTGCCCGTTTTAAAGATTAAATTACTTAAGTGTCGTGTTTTTGCCTTTCGACGCTACGCTTATTTGTCCTGGATTCATAACTACTTTTTTAATAGCTCATCACTAATTTCAGTTTTTATGCGTTTTTTGCAGTTATGCAATGCAAAAAACGCATATTGACGAGAGGTTGTCTG